GATTTAGAAGGTTTCGTTGCGTGGCCGGTGATCTTATAAGCTGCGCTAGTCGGATAGTTATCCCATTATATCTTATCCGATATTTTCGACGGACGTAAGCCTAACGGCATCGAAAGAGCTTAAATCGCACGCGAGCTTACGGCCTTTGCATATACATGTCACTATCGGATCCTAACTTCGATAAAAGGGGGGGTTTCTGCAAAATTATTTAATTAACATTTTTTATTCCAATATATTTGCTTAGCTTATACTCCAGAATCAACGACAAATTTTTTTTAATTTGCAAAGAGGCTTGAACCCTTCTCTCCCTCAGGATCCGCTAATAATACACATATATGCGTCATGTGCTCGACGACCAGAGATGCTGAAAGCTACTGGACGGTATTATTAATCGATCGGTCATCGAATATATATCGAGAGTATCTTTCAATTTCTTACATTAATGAGACGAACATTAATGAGCGCGAAATTTTAGCAAACATATTTCGGCGTAGTAAGAAAAAAAGCGTCGAATGACTGGAATGTAAACATATTAACTCGTTAACGAGAGGAAAATAGAAGTGACACGGAAGGGACCGAAGAGAAGGGGAGAGTGGTCGCAGATAAAGACTTCGAAAGAGCCGCTTATCTGTAAAGACCGACATCCGCCGGATCAGCCTCAGATATCAAACCCACCCACACTTTCCTTTTGGCGCGCTTAGACTAAGTTCCGAGGACGGAAGTAGCCGACTTCCAGGGATCGCGAATCCGTCGCAACTGGACCTGAATATCCCAGAGAAGCCGCGTGGTCCCAATTTATTTCCCACAAAAGTGCAAATTGTCTTTCTCAGACGCATGCAAATCAGTGAGTCAATAACAAAAAAAAAAATAACATCGTTCAGATTTGAACGTGGCTTCGCGGTCTGATTCGATTTCGAGAGATTAAGCCTTGAGTCGTCTTGGATTATTGAGTCATCAAGACGAAGGAGAAACCTTTAGAACTAAGGGGACGAGCTCACAATTTACTTTCAGCTACGTAATCAATTGATCGTAATTTCAAGATTTTGAAGAAGACTCTTCACGGCATTTTTATACATCGTTCTTAGCTCACTTATTCCGCTTAACTCGCTTTAGAGTGTCCAAAATGTCCAAGTGTTTGAACGGCGCTGTCTCTTCTTAATATCTGAAATCTCGACTTCATTTTGCCTCACCGAGAAATGAAATTCATTTTATTCCTCCCTTCTGCTTAATCGCATTCGAGCGCACACCAATGATACAGCGACGGAAACGTCATTGTCGATGAATCTAAATGGCGCGCGCTTTTCCCGCCAGTGATTTAGAAAGATCCTCGGTAATCTCGGAGCAGCACGGGTAATCATTTCGCCCGCAGAGTGAACGAGGGTCGAGGAAGACGCGGAAAGAAATATTCTTTGGCCGCGGCCCCTTCGAATCGCGTTTTCCGCACTGAACGTAGCAGCTATTATCGCGACGGTGCGGAACGGGCGATACGACGGGGTGTCGAAAAATATGTTCCAACTTTTTATCTTGTATCTGCACCACCGCTTCGCTGGTGAAACTGGGCTCTGTTAATTTGCGAAGTCGCGAGAAAGCGCAGTAGTAAAACGTCATGAACCCGATGTATTCGAAAACGGACAATTTTATGAGAGGAACAAATTTATATTTAACGCCCTTAAGTGTCCAATCGGAAATGATTTTCTTCTGGATTATAATATGCCTTCAATATATTTTGTAATATTTCCGTGCTGGATTTTAATTCTAATGAATTGTGTATTTCTTCACATAGCTAAGTTGATTTGTGAAATACTGTTTATATAGTATATAATTTTATATTTATATTGTTTATTTGCGATATAGATTTATATCATCTTATGTAAAATAATTTTATTAAAGTTCTTTTAGATTGCATTATATATTTTTCACGCGTTTCTAATTTATTCAATAAATTTAAAGATAATTTTTCTTTAGCAAAAATATGATTAAAGGATTATTATTTGAATATTGAATGACTGTTATATTATGTGAGTGTGTGACATAGATTGAATCAAGATTAAATGAATATTGCCGCTGGAAGATTTAACAATACGAGAAATCGCTAACACGAGAAATGCAAGATGAAAACGTCGCAAATGAAAAAGAGCCATCGAGAGAAACTGATTTTGCTTCTTCAAGGGTTGCTCTTTGGATGAATCTTATCTTTCGACGAGAGCTGTCAAAGACGAAGTAGCATGACGCTTCCGTCGTGCGGGGAGATAACCGGAAGCCCGATAGGACCTGCACCAGAAATGAGAAATGTCTTTACTTGCAGAGATTAAAGATTTCGCGGATGAGTGGTTGCTTCTTTCATTTCTTCGTTTACGTTTACTATGATAAACTTACATCTAGCAATGTTTAATGGCATTCATTCATTGTTATTAATTAATCGAAAATTTCAATTCATTTTTTACCTCCAAAAACCAATTTTCAATTAGTGTCACTCTCCAATCTAAAATAAATTTCTAAAAAGTATAGATGGACACTTTTGTGACACGCGAGAGAAAGTGTTGCCTCTTTCATTTCTTCGTTTACGTTTACTATGATAAACTTACATCTAGCAATATTTAATGTCATTCATTCATTGTTATTAATTAATCGAAAATTTCAATTCATTTTTTACTTCCAAAAACCAATTTAACCCTCAAATTTTCACAATTAGTGTCACTCTCCAATCTAAAACAAATTTCTAAAAAGTATAGATGGACACTTTTGTGACACGCGAGAAAAAGTGTTGCCTCTTTCATTTCTTCGTTTACGTTTACTATGATAAACTTACATCTAGCAATATTTAATGTCATTCATTCATTGTTATTAATTAATCGAAAATTTCAATTCATTTTTTACCTCCAAAAACCAATTTCAACCCTCAAATTTTCACAATTAGTGTTACTCTCCAATCTAAAACAAATTTCTAAAAAGTATAGATGGACACTTTTGTGACACGCGAGAGAAAGTGTTGCCTCTTTCATTTCTTCGTTTACGTTTACTATGATAAACTTACATCTAGCAATATTTAATGTCATTCATTCATTGTTATTAATTAATCGAAAATTTCAATTTATTTTTTACCTCCAAAAACCAATTTCAACCCTCAAATTTTCACAATTAGTGTCACTCTCCAATCTAAAATAAATTTCTAAAAAGTATAGATGGACACTTTTGTGACACGCGAGAGAAAGTGTATCGCAAATTCACGTCGAGACGACGATGCGTCGGTAATAAACAGAGAGCGCGTAATACGATGTGTCCCCGCGATTAAATCCTATGGCGTAAAAGCCCACCTTAAACCAGCTGATCCCGGTACAAAGACGACGCAAGGACGGGGCGCCTTAATGAAAACTATACGTCCCTAGATTAAGGTGGACGCCGGTCAGCCTTCGGACCCGCCAGATACGACCTGTCTTATGCAGCGTAGGGAGAGCGGGCGCTCTATGATGTCCGGCGTATTAGATGGAAGTTTTGGCCATTAATACCTAATATCATGCCGCGCCGGCAGTAAATCCTTTGTTGGTCATCTTTGACGGGGACTTAACGCCTTGCATCAAGAGACGTTCGACCGTATCAATCCGGGTACAATCCAATATTGCATCTTGATTAGCTCATTATACTCGTGCACTTTTAGTATTAATATTTATATTCACAAATTAATTTAATAAATCAGAAGTCTATCGTATTTTTTTCGACAAATTTTGGGTTAATTTCTAGCGATAATTAAAAATATAAAATTTTTGTTCAAATATTAAATTTGTAATATTAAGCGGCAAATTAAACTTATTAAGTTCGTTTGAAATTATTTAACTATAGCGAGATCTGAAATTTATACAATTTATCATTGAAGTTCTAATCTGAAAGATGCTGCGATAGTAACTGCCACATTAGCATTTCACACTTCTCACCGATGAATTATTCAACTTTTTTTCATTATGGGTGCATTTTTAGTATAAATTTAAACAGTGTATACCGAGCAATGAAAGATGAGAAACAGAATATGCATCGAAAATTTGACAGTACCTTTACGACGAATAAGTATAGCACTATATAGCCAATGGAGAATTGTGTGGGTGAAACTTTCCCCTTCTCTTCTTCTCCTTTCCACTCTTTCTTTTAAACATCCCTCTCTCTCTCTCTCTTTCTCCTTCCCATTCTCTTCCTTCTCGCACTCCATTTCCTCGGTTTCGCAGAACTCTGGGATTATGACCTCGAGTGGGATAGACTCCCGGACTTAAGTCAGGGTTACACAAGGATCGCAGCTATTGTGCCATCGCGCAGGTCCCATTGTCTCGGGATAGACGAGTGGATCTGCATATGCTTAGCACCAGAGTTAAACTCCTCTCTCTCTCTCTATCTCTCCTTCTCTCCAACCGCGTCTTTCTCTTGCTCGCTCTCTCTCTCTCTCTCTTCTCTCGGCGATCTTCAGTACGCGCCCCGCGAATCATCCTGCTCCTCAAATTTGGATGCTGGAACGCCAAAGACTCTATACCTATTGTCAGCCGGATGTACAGAAATAGTACTTCAGTCGAAGCTACCAGACGATTTAAGGCATTCACAGACTGAGCTTCCGTGAAGATATCTTCGGTTTTCCGAATCGAATTAATTTGATCCGCTAACAAGGCTCGTATAATAATATTCCATAGAGATCTTTAAACTTGATCTAGAAGTTAAGTAATAATCGTTAGAAAATTTAGAGAAGATGTAGGAAACGTTGATATATGTATTAATATTATAATTGCATTATCTCGTAAATTGTGCAATTATATATGAAAAATATCATATATTTTTTTATTTAATTAAAATTCCAAATGTAATCATAAAAATCTAATTAAGAGCATTACACACATGATTAAGTCACATTCATAAAATGATGCAATTGTTAGCTAATTTGTTACTCATAGTAAATTTATCATTCTATTGTCTCTCGTAATAAGAGGATTGTCGTTGCTTTACGTAAACTCCTTTGTTTGTTGCAGCGAAAAATCTGCCGGTTCATTGTGTAGTGGAGACGATTCACAATATCGTGGAAAGTCATGTGAGCAACAGTCGCGAAAAATGGCGAAGTCCTCAAGTCGAGACAGACTCTTACGTTATCATTCCAGTAGCTATGCCCTTTCAGGTAAGAATTATTTTCTCTTATATACATATATTATAATATAATTATTGTTAAAACTGAGACATTTATTCTGACATTTATTTTGTTGTTTTATGAAATTAAATGTTTACGATAAAAATAAAAAAAAACTTACGATATTTAAATAATACAACAATAACTAAGTGTGGAATTATAAATTAAAAAATTTTAAAATAAATTATATTTTTTTTTTTTACATAGAGATATTTCTTATAGATTTAAACGATTATAAAAATAGAAAATATAATTACTAAAAACTCACTCTCTCTCTCTCTATGATTTTTTGTCGACAGGATTTGGTGGGCGAGGCTCTTGTTCGTTTAGGCTATTCCAGCGATCTGATACCGAGTGCCAGAGGCAGCATCGTTATACGAAACTGGAAACCCTTGCCGATGGAAAAAGTCGCCGATGGCCCGTTATTAACAGTAGGAGACATCCTGGCTGAATTGACATCGGTGGCGACCCTGAAGATTCAGGTGTACAGATCAAGACCGCCACCTCCCAGCCCGGCTGCTGAAGTGCGAAATAAACTGCTGAGGTTGTTACTGTTGCACAGCCATACGCTTCTCGTCTCCGCAGGATGTCCCTTGGACGAGGTATGAATTTTTTATTTTCGTCTTTTATAATATTTTTTGTTTCCGTTTTTTATAACATACGTATCGATTTAAAGAAAAAGAAGTACATATTTTTTCGCACATTTCATTAATTTATTTATGTACTTTCGTATAATATTTGTAATGGATGCACTAGAAGGATGCAAAGCTGTTTCAACATTCTTTACACAAATATAAGTTTTCGTCTGAATACATATAATTGACTACCAATCTAACAAAAATCTTGAAGTAAATCATTCTTAATTTTTAAATGACAGCAATATAAACATTATGTCTTCTTTATCTTGTTCTATGTCTTGATGTTATTAGAAGCGAAAGTACGGCAGCGAAAATAAGAAGAGAAAAAAAATACGTAAGCTGTGTATAAAGGCGCGTTTATTTGAAGAACGAGGTTAAATAACCGCGCACCGAGAGAATTTAAGGGCCATTCAAGGCGAGATCGGAGCAGGGAATATTCGTAGTAAGACGACCGCTTAAAAATGTATAAAATGTAAATCTAGCCCAGAGAGTGTTTGTCGTCGGGGCACTTAATCTCATTAAGAAGTCCTCCGGCTCGGTGCTCTTGTACCTCCCGCAAGAACGCGGCGAGTGGTAATCTTTGGTAGATTCTTGCTCGCGGCCCGTTGATCCTCACCTTGAATAAATGCTCTTCCTTGATTTCGAATCACCAGTCGAGAAGTCACCGCGCGCTTCTAGTAGCTTTCCATCTCGAATCGAAGCATTTTCGCGCGAATAACGGAGTCTTTCTTGATTCTGAGTCTTCTTGCAACTTTCTGCAAAATTTTATATGCAGTAGATTTTATCTCTCTACAATGATTATATTATTTTCAACATATTTTCGTATTACAATAATGAAGCTTGATAAAATTTATTGTATTTATTTTTAAATAATTTACATATCAACGTTTGCTATCTCTCACTTCGGAAAATATCGAGAACACGTACCCTGAAAGCGCTATTTTAAGAACTTAATGAAAGAAACAACGATTATCTCATCTGACCATAGAAGGAGATTTTATCACAATGTCAACATTTTTCGACGATTCGGCGCAAAAGCCGATTCGACGAAAGTTTAACGTTGCGCGAACTAGTGGCTCTCGTCAATTCCCAGTCCCCGGCGATGGAATCGAATAACGTAATCTCGGTTATACCCAGCTAACGCGAAATTTTTTTTTTTTTTTTTTTTCACGATGACTTTTCGAGGGGGTTTATCCCGGCCGCGGTCCTCTCGATTTTCCGTTCAACGGAAATTGAAATAGACGCGCGATTTTTCGATACGGACAGCTCGCGCGCGCGCGCGCGCGCAAACGTGCCCTTCCGACAGCGGAAGATCTCATAGCGTGTGATAGGATTACCCTTTACTCAACCAAATTCGCAGCCTTCATCAAAAGCCCCCTCGATATCGGTACCGGAGAAGAGAGAGGGTAGGTACCCTGCCTCCTCCGGGCCGGCATTATCTAAGTGCACTCTCTTTGAAGATCCCGCTATTCGCCCATCCCCGAACTTTAATGCCGCTCGCGGTGGTCTATGATTACCAATTTTCCCCGGCAAACGTTTCCTGCTTGAGTTTCGTAGCCCGACGGCTAATGGCGAACCGCCGTGATGGAGAACCGACGTCTTTCGCGTAGATTTCGCCTAATCTCTGACGATGATGCATGAAGACGTGCCGCCGAGCAATCTTCTCTTCGTCTCTCTGCAATTTCTTTGTATATTCCTGCAACACAAAAGTGTATCTTCCCAAAAATCTTCATATTTTTATCTTTTTTATGCTTGCGTTTTTATTACTAAAGAACTGGAAAATTTTTTAAAAATTTTGATTGGTAAGAAATTTTTTGCAAAGCTAGAAGAAAGTTTTGTAGCGATAATTAAACAGGAGAGCACCATTTTTTAACGTTTTTGTTAATTTCCAACAATCAATTTTCGGTTTAGAAATAAAACTTTGAATTAGATAGGTATTATAATGTTATACTTGAAAAACAATTGAAAGAAATATTAACATCTTTTGTGTTTCGCAAATGTTATTTGCTTATCTTGACGTAATTACTTGGTCACGAGATTAAAACCAGTTATTTCTAGTGTACATGACTCAGATAAAGTGCACAATTTGTGACGTCAGTACATTTAGGTACATCAAAGTGTTACCTTCTTCGAGAGCGATTAAAAACTTAAAAATGTGCAAGAGAAACGTATAAGCGAGTACTAAAGTACACACAGATTTTGTGAAAAATATGCTCGTATTTCTTTCGGGATAATGGAAAGTTTCGGAATGGTAATAAATACTTTTCAAGGGGCCTCGTGGGGGACGTGAAATTCGCATTAATTGGAATCGGCGAACATAAATCATCGGTGTCAACACAGTTTCAGACAATAAAAAGCAGCGAAATCTATTTTGGATCCTATTTAGCTTGAAATGTAGAACAGTGATGTAACAGACGTCGCCTGATATATCAGGATTAGGGCTTAACCATATTTATAGCGCCACAGCGACACACACATATGATTTATCTACTATATATTTTTACAAAATTGTTCTACATATATATATCCCGAAATCTGATGGTTTTCGTTTTTACATAAATAAATATATATATATATATCGTAGAATAGCAAAAAGATCAAAGAGAATTTGACTTTTTTATAAAAAAAATTTCACGATGCAGCAAAGGCTTACGATAGATATATCCTTATTAAGGTTCCACGTACAAAAAAGTCGAGACAATTATAGTCTGATTAATATTTAAAAAATGAAAATGGAGTAGAGAAAGAAAAGAGGAACAATTTTCGTTCAATTATATTTTTTCATAGGTCAATTTTTTCTTACGAAAGAAATATGTTCACAAAAAAAATTCGCAAAATAGTCCTCGATTTTACGCGTTGCTAATTTCGCGAACATGTTACGATCCCGCAAATTGTTTGATCGCGGTCCCGTGATCGCGATTGATTTATCACTGTTCTACGGATCAGTCGATTGCCTTGTGTGTGCGTGCACAATGACTCTTGAATAATAAATACAGTGTAAATCAGCCTCAAATATATCGCAACGTCGTCAGATAAGCCGGTCGACGGCGCGTACCAACTGTTTGCCGAACGATTTCTGAAATCTCTGCGAGCGCCTGTCAGACTCGCGCCTTAGACCTGCCTACCTGGAGTGATTAAGTGCGGTGTCGTAAAACTGAGGGCGGATGAGAATTCGAGGAGGTGACACTCTTTCTCTCTCTCTGTCTCTCGAGCTGTCGCGGACGGATAATTGTCTTGTCTTGATAATATCTGACGTGCCATGGATACACGACGGATTACCGCGTTATTAAGGTGGCGTCGCGCGCTTGATATCCTCCAGAGCCCGGAGATGTATTTGTTCTTATAAATCATCGGGGCCAGATAAGGCTCGCGCGCACTGCTTCCTGAGGCGCGAAACTTTTCCATAATCTGTCATCTTAATGCCGTGACGACGAAGACGGCGACAAAAGTGACGCTAATGACGACGGCGGCGCCTGTCCGCGTCAACAACCGACCGGATAAATCGATCGTCGAGAGAACGAATTTTAATTCGTGTAATAAATCTGTTCCGGGAGTTTCGATTTATAGTACTCTGCTTTTTTTCTCCTCTTCCTCTTGTTATCTTATTGTTAAGGCTCCTTTAAACGATCTGTAATTTCGCGACAAAATTCAAGACAGGATTTTATCTACAAATTTTATGTGTCGCGTAATACAGAATGCGTCATATCTATACAAATAAAAATATATCACGATGCATTAGAACATGTGACGCGTATTATAAATAGAATTTTATAATCTAGATTGTCTAAAGAAGATAATACAAAAAAACATGAGGAAAAACACGACCCACTTTCTTGATAGTTCCTTAACTATCCTGTAATAAAAATTATTAAGTAATAAAAATTCTTTGTAAAATATAGAAAGGCACTATAATGGAAAAGCGAAAACAGTTATAAATCTATTAATTGGCAACTCAATAAAGGAGAGCAAGATTCAAAAAAATCTGTATCGCTTCCCTTGCAGATGACTCTGCTGTCCCTCTGCAGAGGCGGCAACGACCTGTCGGAGGAGACCAAGAGAAACTTCGAAACGTGGCTGCAGCAGCAACAGATAGGTCTCGGTATAAATCCCATAGCGCCGTCTTCTAACCACCATCATCATCATCATCACCATCACACGCAGAGTCCGCAACCCGACAGCGGCGGCACGATCGCGCCCAGCGCCGGCGGCGGCGGTTCCATCGGGCCGCCGCATCCGGCGTTGCTCCAGTATTCGCACAAGACCAGGATGAGGACCAGCTTCGACTCGGAGCTCGAGCTGCCGCGCCTTCAGCGCTGGTTCGCCGAGAACCAGCATCCGTCGCGCGAACAGATACAGCACTACGTCGCGGAACTGAACTCCCTGGAGTCGCGACGGGGCAGAAAGCCGCTGGACGCGAACAACGTCGTCTACTGGTTCAAGAACGCTCGTGCGGCGCAAAAGAGGGCCAGCATGAACGGCTGCAGCCCGCCCGGGCTCAGCCCGAGAGGCGCCAGCCTCGTCAGCGAGGATTGCACGGATGAGGAAGAGGACACCAGGCAGCAGGTACGTGGTTCTGAAGAGGGAGAAACAGAAGGATCGAAGATAACAGTTTGGTCACCGAAATATTATTTCAGATAAAAATCCTTAAGGTTCGCCAGTAATAATTAATAAAAATCTTTCCTCAATGGTAAAAGTCGACCAAACTGGCAATCATTTATTGTAGATCATTAGTTAAAATACAACGTTTCGGCTGTCATTGCAGCCCTTTTCAAGTATGGTAAATCTATAAAAAGTTACATAAAAATAATTCTAATTTTAATACATTTCATCGCAACAATTAATTCATAAACAAAAAAATGTTACATACCAAAAGTAAATGCAAAATAAATTAATACAGTAAATCAAAATCACTGCATACCTCCGACAACATTCACCATTGTTTTAACTTTTAGTCCCGACGGTTCTTTTCGGCACCTTTAATCCCGACTCATGGGTCGTTTGCGTCTTTGCGTTATTTGGATTAGTAAAAACGCTTTAAAAAATCTGAAGAAATTCATGGAGCTTCTTGCAACCTTCAACTTGAAGTCCCAAATAAAGAAAATTATTTTTTTATATAGTTTGTTATTAAGAAATGGAGGTACCTAACGGAGGTACGAAATTTCGTTTGGGTCGCAAACGACCCAAGAGTCGGGACTAAGGGTTAATGAACAATGTAAAATTGACAAAAGTAAGCAAGAAATATTATTTATTGATTTATTTAATAAACGGAAAAGTTTCCCTTTAGCGTACAAAGGCAACGACACAAATAGATATGAGGGAATTGAATTCGAGTTAAGAAAATTGAAATTGAAATGAAGCTTTCGAATTATATTGCATCCTGAAATCAGATAAGGTAAAAGAAATCTCTCGAAAGAGCTCAAGTGTTCTAACGAATGCTTTCACAGTCGACGTCCGGGTCTCCCTGTCCACCGAGCAGCCCACCGGTCGGTCCTCTATCGTTGACCACGAGACCGGAAGACCAGCAACAGCCGCCTACGTCGACCCCATCCTCGGTGAAGCAGGAGGACGCGAGGGTGTCATCCGGTTCCGAGGACGACGAGACGAGACACACGGGCCCGATCCCGCCGGGATTCTCCCTGGTGCCGAGCCCCATGTTCGGCCACGGCATAATGTACATGTCGCATTATTTGCCGCCGCGCGGGCCAGCCGGCTGTCCCACCAGCATGCTGGCCGACGAGAGGAGGAAGAGGAACCGGACGTTCATCGATCCCGTGACGGAAGTGCCGAGGCTCGAGTATTGGTTCAAGCGCAGCACACACCCGAGCCATGCGGTACGTATAAATCACCGTCTCTCGTTATCGCAATCATTTGTCTTTCCCAATATTAACGCATTAACAGCGAGAAATTTCTATTGGATTAATAGAGCGCAATTGTAGATATAGAGTTACTCTCTTGCGGTAGAAAATATTTAATTCTACAAAAGTAGAACAAAAGACAGGTATTACATGTAAAAGTGAATTCTCTATTTTATGGTATTTGTACGCTATTTAATTCGCTTTCAAAAATATTATTTGAATTATTAAATTAGGCACAAGTGCATCGCGCGCGTTACTTGAAACTTTCCTAAATAATTTCGTTGAAATGCTGATGTGTGTATCGGCTCAGAAATTCGGCTTCGGTATGCTGAAAAAAAAATTTTTACGATCGGTCCATAGCTTATTCTCTCGTACACGGAGGAGCTGAACAAGATGCCGTATCGCCAGAAGTTTCCGCGTCTGGAGCCGAAGAACGTGCAATTCTGGTTCAAGAACCGCAGGGCCAAGAACAAGCGGCTGAAGATGGCTCTGTTCGAGGGCGAGTCGCCGCAACAGCATCCATATCACGCAGATTAGTTAATTTCCTTAAAATAATTAGAGGGACAGAAGCGCGTGGAGCGAACAACGGAACGCGCCGAAATAAAGGGAAATCGTTAATCGACCTGTTACTCCTTACTATCGTTGACACGCTGCGTCCTTAACGCTAACCGGCCGCAGCTCATTCATTGTAATTATCACGTAACAATTAATATAATTATTATGGACTTTCATGAATGTAAATACGAGATGATGTCGAATAAAAAATATACGTCACCAAAAATATATAATTGAACATCTTTCCCTTGTGTCCAAATTGACAAAACACATTTGAAAGAGACAATTAATATTTACGATTAATTTATACATCATAATTATACGTTTCAACTATAACAAATATTGGATCATTAAAATGTCCAAGTATTGAATGAGCGAGATATTATATTTTAATTTATTATTTTGTCGAAACTTTTCAGTGAAGCAGCATATTTGTTTTTCGAAGATTTGTCCTCTTCGAAGATCAGGTTTGTCCTCTTGCGGTTCTCTCGCAAGAAGATCGAAAAATAAAGAGCTTTAAGAGAGATATGATGCCGTATCCATTCGTTCGTTTGTCTTGGGACGAATACAATAAGTCGTCGAATGGTGAGTTTCACGAGTCCTTTCGTAGAGCTCGCGATACATATACGTATGTGTGTGTGTATATATGGTATGTAAACGAACGATGTTGCGTTCATACAAGCGCGTACAACGATACTGTCTCCAAGTCTACGAATGCACAAAGCACAACCGCCCCGACCGAAATCTCGCAGCTAAGATAAGACAGCCGAGCTGTCATCGAGTCAACCCTAACTCAAACGTCACAATAGTCAATGAGTCTTTCTCTAAAAGCGACGATATACTATCTATCTTCTCGCGTTCGCATCACTCGCGAGAATTTCACGGTGACGAGGTACGACGAAGAGATTTAATAGCAAATAAAACGAAAGCGTAATTTGTGTCTGTAATATATAAAAAAGAAATCCATCTCTCTCAGAGGAATATCCGACATTTTTTATCACGTATATTTTTATCGATTTATCTCATTCTCGTCAAATATCATCGAGTTTTCCTTCACTTTGATTGTTCATTTTAATGAGCTGCAGGATTTAAGGACGCTTCTTCCGCTGGTAGATTTTCAAAGAGCAAGGCGGGATCGGATCCTTGTAGCTATTTCGGATTTTCGAGACAAGTTACTCGGCTACGGCGCAAGATAGAAGACTCTCGGCGTTTAAGTACGTACTAGCAATGTGCAAAGATGATGTTGCCAAGGAGGGGGATATATCGTTGTCATCTACGAGACGCACACCAGGATCTGCCGTGGGCCTGCCGCGCCCGCGGGGTCGTCCCGGATTTAATGAGGATAGGCGGATTTGTCCAATTAAAACGTCTTACAAGGATCCATCCGGGTCGGCGCTCATTCGCAAAACATCGAATCTAGACTTTGCCGCAGCAGCGCAGCCTCTTCTTATCCCCGTGCTATACAGGTGCCTTTCTACCGTTATCCCTCTCTCGTTATCGTTATCGGACTCCGCCTTCCGAGCGAAACACGGGAGAGGCAGACGAGGATTTATGGAACTTGTTTCGAGTGCTGTCGAAATCCGCGAGTGCAGATTTCGCTACGTCATCGGACAAAACGCAATTCATGAGCAAAGGTGAGCGGATTTAAGTTACATCATTAGCAGTCTATTAAAAATAATTAAAGAGTCACATTACTAGTCGCAATATTAGGACACAGCGTTTACTTTCGATTACGTACATTATGCAAAGCGAAGAAACAATTTCTCTAAAATATTATATTTTGTCAAAATATTAATAAAATTATTCTTAATTAATTTTTCTGCATAGAATAACGTTAAATTTTTTTTTAACAAAGTTATATTTTCTTTATACGAAACATTTGTAATATTTCTCTTCAACTTTTCAATTATTTTACTAATCCTCGAGTTTGATATACAAAAGTGCACAATTAAATGATAATTTATTTATCGTTATCGTATTCTTGAAATTTCGTTTCTTGATACGACTATCGAGATTCCTCATTCTGAAGAAAATGAAAAAGAAAGATTGGTCGATCGGATAAGAAAATTGCTGCTGAGCCGAATCAGAGTGTGAAGAATCAAGAAGGAACAGAGAGATAGAGCAATGGTAAGGGAAAGGAACGTCTTATGAAAATCTGAAAGTCAGCAGCCTGGAGGATCATCCCTCTATCTGATCTTAATTTGTCAAGCTGCGCGCAGACAATTTAAACCACACCATCCGCATTAAATTGTTATGAAAAATAGCCGGTTTGGCTGAGATTGGCTTCCCGTTGTCATTGACACATATAATAAAACCTTTTTACGAAAAATCACGCATGATATTGCGTAGTGAAATTTTGTGTAAATACATTTTATTTATTTCGCTAATTTGACTACCGATTAATATAAAAAATAATTACAATTTGATATCGCTTAATTAATTCTAAAAATAAAATAGGAGAATTATATTTCTCCTCAAATGAATATATTTCAGCTCCTCCTCCCAGTCCTTTAATTGCGAAGTGCGCGATACATCGAAGAAATACACACACGTGCAACGTTACAATTTAATAAATGACAGATAGGGGAGTAAATCCAGGATGCGCGCGAGCTCCGCGAAGCTGGCGCGCCCGACAAATTGCGAACGATCGAAGGGAATTTAGGATCACCATTATGCAACACCCGCTAGACGTTCCCGTACGATCGAGGCGCACGAAAAGTATCCGCGAGACGTGGGTACACGTCGCTCCAAAGGAGCATTGTGTGTGCTTTGGCATTCAGAGGACGTTCTTATCTGCCTATCCGGGGAGCTGTCAGCAAAGTTCCTGAATAATAACGGAGAGGCTTGTGGAGGAGAAAGAGAGGAAGAGCGAGAGAGTAAAGATAAAGAGAGAGAGAGAGAGAGAGAAAAGGAGAGAGGAGGTTCTGCTATCAGCCGCAGCTAGGATATGCCTAACTATTCTGTTTCCATACGGCTGCCGGACGTTTCGCCATAGATAATGTTGGCCAGGATGGTTAGATTGTTTATGCGATTGATAAGAACCGAAAATGCCCTCCGTCGCTGAATCGGATTGTAACGAATGCGCGTAGCCGTGTATAAGAGAGAGAGAGAGAGAGAATACATTGTTTCCATTAATTATGCATTCATACGTCAGAGAGATGTGAGCAATATTTCGGAGCACAACTTTCCTCGCAAAAGTAAAATTGCGAAAGCACGTGCCACAAGTGCCAATGAGGCGTAGTAATTATTTCTTATGCGTATCTTGATCAGATATATCTAATTTTGAATCGTGAATTATAAATAAATACAAATTTAATACGTTAACAAATATGTATAATTCATACCATATATATATATGAAAGTTAATACTGCGTAAATAAGATTAATATTAGCTGCAAAGTTTTTGAAAATATTGCAACTACAAATACAAATTCTGTTAAAAAGATTACATAATTTACTAAAAATATAACAACTTTTTTTGTAGAATTAGACGAAAGAGACAACGATAAAGTGGTTAGAAGGGAAATCAAAGCAGTTTGGATAAAACCAAGAAATAGCGGTGGGGTTTGAGAATTCGAGAGCTCGCAAATTAGCCGCAGGATTGGCCTCATAATCCTTGAGGGATCCTACGGTTGGCGACGCGGCTTCCATCTTCTTGTTCTGCTCTTATTTCTCCCCCTTTCTTTTCCTCTCGATATTTTTCTCTCTCTCTCTCTCACTTGCTCTTTCCCTTCCCAAGGGTAGCTGATGAGGTCATATAAACGAACTCCGGTTTCCCTTTCTTATTCTTTAATCCTATCCCTCCCTTCAATCCTTCTCCCTCGCGCGGCTATACTAAAAATTACGAGTAGCGAAGAAGAGAACGACTGGCTGAGAACCAACGATTGAAAGTAATGAGCCGTGGAGGGAAAATCACCCAGGGAGTAGGCCGTATTCTCCATTGCAAGTAATCCGATGGTCGGAGATAATTAATCCCGTTAATTTATCGGCGCCAACCCTGACGTCGCAACCACGTGTGAAGAAAGAACAATAATGTTTCTTCTGCTTTATGAGAGAGAAAAACACATGGTCTGTAATATCCGACCAAAGTTATTTATTGATCCAATTAATTAAGACTGTTCACAAAATTGTATCGCTTTAATGAGAACTAAACTTTAATCAAATTGGAATTTATGTAAAGAGGATAAAATTTTCCGTATAAATTGCAGAATTATATTTCATGTACGCGCCTTTAATTTGTATTTTTTTTTTTTAAATCTGAAAAATTGGTTTTACAAATAACAGAATTTTAAATAAAAAGGAGAATTGTCGCCATTATTTCAAAAACTGAATAGAAATTGCACAATAATATATATCGAAGCATGTCTCCGAGAGATCCACGAAAGCAAACAACGTATCTTTACGTGCCAGAAATCATGGTACACCGTGATTCCGGACGGACTCAGCGACGACGTCTTAATTGATCTATACGGCTAAATGTTACACGACTTTACGAGGCCGGGGGTGGAAAATAGGGGAGCGGGAGAGAGAAGAGTATTAAGCCTCGGAGAGTGGACGCTTAGTCGGTCATTGGCCAAGATCTATCGCGGGAGTATGGAGTCTAAGAAGAGAAGATCATACCACTTAGCCCGCTCGACGGAGGAGCTCCTTTCGCGACCGTAAATAAAAGAAATCCTTGTAATGGCCTTTTGGCGAAGATCCTCGCCAGTCCGAGAACGATCCTCAGTCCCTCCCCCGGTTATTAAGCTCCCGAAGGCAGCAACCACCCCGGCGTATCAGAAGCTCGTAGGCCCGAACGAACGGTCGGTTCGGCCAGTTAATTCCTTAACCCTTATAGACTTGGAGAAAATTTAGGGCGCGACGGTGTGTAGAGATAGGGGTAGGGATGCGCGACGGTATACTATATAATAAACCGGAGGGGCTCGAGGACGAGTGGGTGGGTAGTCCTGGAGAGAAACCGTGAGCCGAACCAGGAATACCAGGTGCTCCTGGGATCTTGGCGGCATCTTACGCCCGGACGATACATAATTTATGTCGCGCTCCGGTGGGCTTAAGACAGCATTAAGATCGACCGAGTACCAACATCTCCGCCACATCCTGCGCTTCTCTCTCTCTCTCTCTCTACCGTCGTCTCCCGTGCGGGATCTACCGGTGCCCCGCATCCGCATGACCGTTATTTGCACGTGGTAAGAAAGCGCTTACGTGCGGAGGCCCTGGCGATT